TACTTTGAGGCCTCGAGTTTTAAAATCTGCATTTTGTGCAATGGGATTGTGCATGATCCAAGTTCATCTTCTCCATTCATTAGTCTTTATTTACTCTTAATTAGTAGATATGGAGTAAAAAAAACCTAAACTGTAATATATCTAACTGATGTTTCCTGTGTTTTGTGTTATGAGATTAAAACCACTGCCTGGTTTCGATGTTGCTGCTCTATTTCTTTTTGCTTTTGTTTCTCTTCTTTTCCAGGTGTTTTTAAAAGGTAAATTGTAAAGTTGCACATCTCTCACCATTTTATTCAGAAATGAGATGTGTCCACTATCCCTCAGCATGTCCTAATCTGAATGACAAACAATGGGTATTCGTGACTTAATGAGTATTTACGACTTTATTCAGCTACACTTTCTTATGCCTAGTTACTTAAAAAATGACCCCTGAAAGGTTTTTGTTACTGTCCTCTAAAATATAATTATAATAAGTGCCGGAAATGATCATCTGTCACTCTTGTCACCAGAGCATAAAATAATGGGTACTTCCTATGGCCTTACGTGATGATTCCTGATTAATGTTTATTCCATATTGATTTGGCAAGAAACTACTTTCTGTCATTCTCAGCCACATTTTCAAAAGAGAATATCCTTTAAATGGTTTTTAAAAAAGTATATTGCTACAAAATCTTCAATCTAAGAACAAATAATAATAATTATAAGATTATGTAGAAAAATTAGAGAAGTCTGGTAAGCATTTTGTCTTTCCTAAGTTCTTGATTTGACTGGGAAATAGTTTTTATGCCTAAAATGAAGACATTGTCCTTGAAGAGTAATAACTATGAGCATAGGTACAAATTATTTGCTAAGATCAATTTAATGTCCTTTGTAGAAAAAAGTTACGAAAATAAGTATTTTTCTTTTCAGACCAATAGGAGAAAAGTACTTTAGTGGCAAAACATATTGATAAGCCATATAAATAAATATGTGAATTTGTGTGCTTGTCAAATATGGTTCGCTTTGTTAAAAGAATCATTTAAAGGTGACAAAACTTGTTACAATAACTGTTTCATAGAGTCAAATATAGATTTCAGTTTACCTTTGTGTCCTTGTAGTAGAATTTAAGACCAATAGCTCATATTTTATCATTTCAAATTAGCTTAATTTTTGCTTTTAAGTCACATATTAAGATTGCCTTAATAAGACATGCAATGCAAATAAACAAATACATCTTTCTTTAAATACGTTTTTATTCCTGTACAGGTTGGACACATGAGACCTTTCCCTCACTTTAAAGAACATTTTATTTGTATTCCAAACTCCTGTTTTGCTTTTCACCCATGCCAGGCTCTACCGACGAGGCCTCTGCAATGGTTTATATCTAGATGACCCCCAACAGCCTCAGGTGCTCATGGACGCGGTTTTGGAAGGTGAGTGCATTATGGGGCTTACAGGTGACTCGCTGCGAGGCGAGGCGGGGGAGTCCGGTTCACAGAGACAGGTAAACGTGGGTGTGACCAGGAAGGTTGTGTCTCCCCTCCCAGCCCCCGCTTTCGTGGTGGATTGCTGCTCCCAGGCACAGTGAGGCAGGCAGCCCCGCCCCCACCACGCCCCCGCCACGCCCCCGCCACGCCCCCGCCACGCCCCGCGCCACGCCGTCCTTCCTCTGAGTCAGACGACGCAAGGACTGAAAGTTGTACAAACTACGAACCAAGGAAACCTCTCCTCCTTCAGGTATTTTGTCCCAGTGACTAGAAAATGACTAGGACAGCTTCCCATTCCAGAGCAGGGTTTTCAAAGTGCTCAGTGAAATTCCCCAGCCCTAAATCTCATCTTTTTAGGGACTATTACTACGCCTTCCTCGGTATATATTCCATGTTCCAGCAATGCAGATTTTCTATTATCCTCTTTTTTCAGATTTTTCCCGCCATCCCCACACTTTCACCCGCTAAACACACACGTCAGAGATGTGATCCTCTCCTTTTAGCAAACCTTATTACAGCACTGGCTCTCAAATCAAACTTTTAATTATAGAAAAAGTGATAATGATGAAACTAAGATATAGGTGTACATAGGTAAATCATAAATTTATTATCTTGAAAGCCTTGAGATAAAATACTAGAACATAATGTGAACAAAGATATTTAGTGGATATCAGATTAATTGGCATTTTTTTCTTTTCCTATATTTTAAATACGTTTGAATTAATTTCATAATAAGAAACATAGAATTTGTTGCTGCAATGATCAAAAATAGAGGATAAGATATACAGTGATTATGTTTCTTATTAAGAAGTGTTTCGGAGCCTTTAGGTGAATGCAGTTTATGTGATCCATCAAACTACTTATAAAGGAGTAAAATCCACACCTACATTTCTCCCTAATACATTTGACAGATAATTTTCTTTTTCTTTTTTTTTTTTTTTTTTTTTTTTTTTTTTTTTGCATAGGAAGGATTTTATCCTAGCTAAAATTTACTTGAGAACAAAAACAATTCTTAGTTTTGTACTTCTGACCAAATTCTGCACATATTTAAACCCATTTCCTGAAAGTATAAAACAACCAAAGCACAAGACATTGTTGCAGAAGCAAAAATGAACCACGGCGGTGCTTTCTCACAACAAGGCGCATTGGTTTCCTCGGTGTACAGAGCTGTGAAACAGCAAAAGTAGACGGAGGAGGACGGCCGTTGTTCGCAGAAAGACGGTTAAGGACTTTCGGTGTCTTGAGAACGAGTTACCAACTGTGAAGCGGTTGTGAAAATAGATCGCGAATGCTCGAGGCGGGGAGGGTGACTGGCGGCGCTGGACGGTGTCTGGGGAAGGAGGGCCGGGATGCACGGGGGAGAAGCAGGAGCGAAAAGGACCAGGACTCTATCTGTACATGTGCAGATGCTCCAAGAAAATGCAATTTTTGTGCATCACAAATACACTAAAAGCACTTGTATTAACTTGAATACTATAATATGTTATTATAAGCAAAACCAAGCCAAAGAGGCAGACAAAACATATTATTATACTTTGCCTCATTTACTAAGGCAATTTTGAAATTTGGTTTTGCAGTATACAGTCAAAGCTGATAACGAGGTTGTGTGGTACCCCACATTACTTCATTCTTCTGTTGATGTAGTCAGCTCAGTGTCAGCTTCCCAGTAAGGACAAAATCCTAAGTTATTAAGTGGAAGTTGTTCATATTATCACACACTGTCTATAACTAACAAGGACTTTTTTGTAGACTCTATTGTTTTTCTTATTTTAAAGAGAAAAAATAAGACAAAATTTCAAAATAAGATAATGGGACTGTAACAATGGTTAGCGCAATCTTTAAATTAATTACTCAGGGTATAAGACATTGGCATTTAATCGTCCGAACAATAGTAATACAAACCTTTCTTTCAATGAATTAGGAGAAATCAGTAGTATAACTATCTTAACTACTATCTATCTATACAATTTTCTTCTTTTTGCTTTTCCTTTCCTTCTTTTATCCAACCCCCATCCAAATCTCTCTTTCCTTTTGAAGTTTCTTCCCATTTTATAATATCTATTGTACCTTTTGGATCTTATTTACTCCTTCAGCTTCTCACATTAGGGAGACAACAGAATGTTTACACATGTGCCTCTGATTTATTTCACTTATGAATATGGTGTAGACTCATGCTTTGAACCCAGCTTGAACCTACCCTGGATCAAAATCTATTAATTTCCAAGTAACACTAAGTACACTAAGTCTGCCATATTTTCCTTCATCCTGTGCTGCTTGTATCATACTACTTACATTTGATTTTATTGTGCTTTAAAATAATCAAAAGTTGTGCATTTACTTAAGGGCAAGAATAACATTGAGAACGGGAGACCATTATATTAAGTAAAAAAACAAACAAAGAAAGACAAATACCACGTCATGCCACTCAAGTGCGGACTCTAAAAGGTTGTTCTCACAGAAGTTGGGAGAAGCATGAAGGACGAGGGCGCCGCGGACAGGAGGGGTGGGGGGGTGGGGAGGTTTGTCAGTGGGTGCCGAGTTACGGGTAGGGGCAAGAACTTCTAGAACATACTATTGCACGGTACATGACAATAGGTATAAATAATGCACTGTGCATTTCAAAAACCTAGATGAAAAGCTATGAAAGATTTTTACCACAAAGAAATGATAAACATTTCTGGATGTAAATTTTTAACCTGACGTAAACAGTACTCAATGTACGCAGCTACAAACCCTACATGGTGCTTCACTAACACGCACAACATTTAAGGTTTTTTGTGTCTGTTCACAATTTTCCTACAATGCAGAGGAACACACTGGATGACTGCACAATTACCAGCAATTGTTTATGATAACTATACAGTTTCAAAATCTGAGGTTTTTCTTCTTTTTCTAAATTTACATTCTACTTGTACATATAAGGAAACCCAGGATTATTCATAGAAAACTTGTTCATAATAAATTATAAAATCACCCTTCAAATGATATGATAAATTTCTAATTGGAAATATAAATCAATTAACAAGACATTTAAGAGAAGAAAAATTTTAGGACAGACCTTCTTATTAACAACTGAAAAGCCTTATTCTGCCTATACAAGCACTCTTTTCCTTAACTCAGAATTTTAACATGCTTGTGAAATACTGTTATAGAAATCAAGAAAAAAAAATTTATTTCCATTGAGGTCCATTTTATTGAGAAATTGTTTGGAAATTAAACATTTTTGAAATTTGAATGCAGAAAGTTTTTAAAAATCAAGGTGCAAATGAGGGGTTTTATTTATGTTTTACTCTTTGCCGTGGATGTGTACATTTCCAAGTCAGCTTTGAGGGGCTGTAAACTTTCCCCGCAATGCACTTGGTGATGCAGAGAGCACAGAGCTCTAAGTTTCCCTGCTGACCCTTTCGGTGTTGCCGTGTTAGCTCTCCCAAGGGCATGACTTCCTCAGCACTTCACTGCAGCTATTAGGTCACTTTTGGTAGCTTCAAATTGTCAGTCCCAGCAAAGTGTGAACGTCCCAGAGAAGCTTCTTTCAACGTTTCACTTGCTCATGTCTCATTCCTGATGCTGTCTGTCCAAAGATTTCCAGCTAACTGCCTCTAAAGTACGAGTTAAATGAAAACATTTGTCAAGCGAATTTAAACTCATACACACACACATAAACACACACAACTGTCGCCTTCTGTAAAGATCTCTGTAGCTTCTCTTCAGTGTGCAGTCCTGACATTTCAGTAATTGCCTCGGCCTTGGTGCTTTTCTAGATGAAACACTTCCCTAACTCCTTATCTCAGAAGTGCCCCACTGCGATTCCTGACACACTCGCTCGTCCCTTTGCCCCTGCCGATGCTGCTTTTAGCCTGTCCACGTGCCTGAATCAGGTCTGTCCTCCCTGAAGATGCAGTACCCGTGGTGAAAGCTGGGTTCAGCGTCTTTTGTCTTGGTTTGTTTGGGTGAACTACATTTATTCATGAAGGCTTTTCCCCAGCTTTTTTAAAAAAATGAAACTGACTGACATTTTGTACCAACTACAAAACTGCTGAAATGAGATGTTTGTAAGTCTGGTGTCGGGCTTATTTGTTCGGTTTGTTGACAATCAAGACTGCTTCAAATTGCAATATTATACAACAATCCAAGGAATTATTAATGCTTGAGGACTTAATAAGCCAATCAAAGAAGGAACCTCTCTCCCTGTCACCTCTGTGGAGGGCAGCAGACATTTTCTAGGTGTTAGCAAGCTGTGTGTGCCGTGCAGAGGGCCTCGGATGCTGTGCTTGTGAAAGGGGGTGCTGTGATCTTAACGTTTGTGGCCCCTCAAAGCTCATATGCTGAAATTCAAATACCAGTGTGACCGTCGTAGGGAAAGCTGTTGGCAGGCGAGATCATCTCAGCAGGAAGGCCGTCTCCGGGAGCCAGAAATTGGGCCTTAACCAGGCACCAAGTCTGCTGATGTCTTAACTTCGATGTCCCAGCCGCTAGAAACGTGAAACTACAAGCCACCTAGTTTGTGGTATTTTGTTAGAGCAGCCCCAGCATGCTAAGGACTGCTGCTGGAATTATAAACCACTCCAGCTCCTAGAGAAGATGATTCAATCCTCCATTCAGTTTGACAGTAAAAAAAAGGCGAGCTTGAGACTCCCTAGGTAAGCATCCTCTGAGGGCTGTGACTGCAAAACTTCAACAACGATGGTAATTAGCTTACGAATTTTAAAACTTTAAAGGACATCGTAACATTTTATTCATACTACCTCTTGGATGAGAAATAGCCCAGAATGTTGTCAGAGGCTCTGGAAACCGTCGTGATAGACAAGCTACGTGTATTTCCTCATACTTCTTTCACAAGCGCTCGTTTTCAAATCCAAGCAGCTGAGCATTCTGTGCATGTCCGGGAAGGTAGAATAGCACAAAGAGGGGAGAAAATGAGAAGGTCGCTCTTTGATTTTTGAATTTCACAACTTAAGTCACAGGCACAAAACCTCAGACTATGTGTAATAGATACAAAGTAATGGGATGGATCTTGGTAAAATTTGCCTGGTCTAACTCTTCCTTCATTCCTACTCCATACCAGGTAGCTCTCTAGACCATATCATAAAACAAGGGAAGGTAGGGATAGGAAAAGAGCTTAAGTATTAAGCCAAAGATTTGGTGTATTTGCCAAATTTATATGCTGAAGCATGAGCCCAGATATTATTGTACACTTCTTGTAGAAGAGCTTCAGACAGCCTCCTGGCATTCATCCGTATTCTGGAAGTATCCAGGATTAGTAGGTCCAATGTCCTATGATCCTTAGGCTAACGGGGTAATACAGTCCTGCCCTGTATCCTCACACTAGAGGACAGCAGAGTGAGAGGACTGATCTCAAAATGGCTTCAGATCCAAGTATTGGACTATTCAGTGTACATTTCATGAACAGGTTCACTGAAAGTTAGTGGAAATATACTTCTTATTTTGTAATAAATAGCCCAACTCTCACCTGAGCCCTCCTAGGAATTCAGGTTAGCCCTATGGAAATGGCGAGGTCAGTAATTATAAAATGGCTTACATACCCTTAATCCTCTCACATAAAAACCTATAATAAAAATGATGTCATAATATAGAAAAACAGTTATATTTTCTTCTCTGAGTGAGCTAAGACTACAATGCTTTTTACCACTTATTTATATAGTGGCAATATTAAGCCATTATTTCAAATTCCTCCTAAAACCAGAACAGAGATTTCTTAGGAACATTACCACAAAAAAACCAACACCTTTACAATAATTTCTGGAAGCAGTAAGAGAATATGTCAGATTCACTATTTGTAGTCCTAGGCTAAGCAAAGAAAGAATAATAGGTATTTTTAAAAATTTGGCAAGCATTTCAAATACAGAGTAGAGAAAGAGATAAGGACATTTTTCCCCTACAGCAAGTGTCGTCTTCCTTTTCAACTCCAGGAGGCTGCGGACAAATGCATCCAAGAAGCATTGTTGTCAGGGTTCTTCAGGAAGCTAGATTTTGAGGTGGGTACTGTCTGTAAGCTTCTGGAGTTACTGTTTCTGAACTCTTTTCTTTCATTCTGCTTTTTTCTCTGTTTTTTTTAAACAATGCACTTCCTGTGTCACTCCTGTTTTTCCCCATACTTAATTTTATTTTTCTTGCATTTTTATGTGTCATCTCATACGCCTTTCTTCCAATTTCTCTACTTCACTCTTCTCCTTCCTGCCTTTCCACAAATCCACAGAATACACATAAAAATAGAACACTGAACAAGACTCATTTAGATATAAATTCAGTTATACATTTGATAATCTAAATAAACCTCTACTGACATTAATTCCTCTAAATAAGTGATCTGAAAAATACATAAACAAGCTGTTTACAAAATCTGCAACGTCCGAAAGAGATGCAGGGTTAGACTTTATCAATAATGAGATAAAGGCAAAGGAAACGATCGAGCTTTTCCTACCTGTAATGGTGAAGTTTGACTGTGTTAACCCAACTGGCTTGGAAGCTGCCCAGAAGATTAGTGAACCAGACTTCTGGGTATGTCTGGGTGGGACGGGGAGCTGGGGAACTGTGTCTGGTCCATCGCTTCGTCCTGTCTGAGCCGGCTGTCCTGCTCTGCTTCCTGGACATCAGGAGCTAAGAAGTCTGCTGTGCCCCGCCCTTCTGCCGAGACGCTCCCGCCTCGGCTCCAGCTGAGCAGGCACAGAAACAAGGAGGCAAGTTAGACCTTTCTTCCTGCGCATTGTGGATGTGAGGTATTGTATCTCAGTGAGGAGAAGCTGACTGATTCAAAAAGTGGGTGTCAGAAGTGGGGTTGTTACTGGGGGTACCTGAGCGTGTGGTTTACAAGCCTTTGGGTTTCGTTGCTGTCGTTAATCTTTATTTGTACGCATTTGCAGTACATAGCCATTACATTCATTGCGGGTGGTTGGTACATGTGCATAACACATCTTAATTCTTTTCACATCCTTTTCTCCTTTTCTCCTTCCCTCCTTCCTCCATCTCCTGGTCCTCTTTCCATATGGAAAAGATCTGTCTCCCTGTCTCCTATTGTCTGTATTTTATTTTGCTCTTCGAATTACTTACACTTGGGGTAGAAGCATTTGGAGCTGGCTTGAAGGAGTTTGGGAAGGTATGGAGACGTGGCTCGAGAAGTCCTAGCATGCTGTGAAGAGGGCTTGATGGTTGATTCTGGTCTGAGCTCACAAGCCAGAAACCTGACAGGAACGCAGACAGTAAGGAACAAGGTCAGGAGGTTTCAGCTGCAGACAAGATCACACTGGCAATTGTATCAGAGGCCATGTGTGCTATGCTCTAGGACAAAATTTGTCTGCCTTTCCCTATGTGTCTTGATTTTGCAGGAGACTGAAATTAAGGGTTAGAATAATTGACCTGGTGGGGAAAAGGCAAGGGCATCCCAGCATTCAAGCTGTGACCTGTGTACTGATGGCTGTAGGTTTATTGTGAAAATTGGGGATAAATAAAGCAAAAAAAATGGAAAACTGTAAATTTTTCCCAGAAGAAACTCTCTTGGTTATGTTTCTTTTGTTGGTGAGACAAAATACCTGATGCCCAGAATTAAGGAGGGAAAGGTTTATTCAGCTTACAGTCTGTGGAGGTTTCAGTCCACACTTGGCGGGCTCCAAGGTAGGGAGGCAGGGCATAGGGCAGGTGCAGTATTCACACAAGTAATCCCAACACTGGACCATGAATCATTCATAAACTGTAGTAGCCCACCCCATGACTGCATGAGGCTTTGGAGAAGCATGCAGACATAAACCATAACAGAAACCACGTGTAAAGTTCAGGCCAACAGTGGTATGATTACTAAAGAGATTAGTGCCATTTAAAAGAAATCAAATACTTTGTACAGAGACAAGAAAATGCCTGAGGGCATCTCAGGCATTAGTGAAAACCCACTCATCACAGACTCAAGGGTGAAAAAATATAAACCTTTCATTTGAGAACAAAGTCCCTGGGATGCTGGGTGGAGAAGAGCTGAAGAGCTTGTTCCCCAGGATTCAGTCCACTGTGCTCAACCCTTTAGACATTCAGAGGCTGCTGCTGCCATGCTCTAAAGGGACCTGGCTCTCTTTCCCACTGCCAGCAGACTTTACTGCTGTCCACATGATGCTGGTTTTACTGGTATTCAGAATGCAAGAGCTGTGATGTCAGGGAGGAGTCCACCCAGATTTCAGAGGAAGGCCTGGGAGGCAGTGTGTGAAGCTGTGAAAGTGAAGATGCAGTGGAAATCCCAAGAAGCCAAAGATGTCAGAAACGTGGATCATATGATGAGGAAAGCTGCTGGCTGTGAGTGGAGCCCGAGGAGGACATGAAGAGAGCTGTAACCAGCAAGGCCACGGGGGTGGTGCTTCACAAGCCCCCTGGAACTCACATACCATGACCGTGTGCCCTGGATGACAGATACTGAGCTACAAGACCTAATTTTTGTTGTATGAGGTTTTGCTATGATTCTTGTCCATCCCCCTATTCCTTCTCTTTGGAAAAGGAATGTTTACCCTGTGCTGCTGTATTTTGTAACTTTTTATATTTATAGAGGTTCACAGCGAGGAGTTGCCTTGTCTCAAGAGAGACATGGACTTGGATTTTTGAAAAATGCTGGAACTATTGAGACTCTGGGGAAGGGATTATTGTGTTTTTGGTGATATCTAAAATTGTTGTATTTTGTTAGATGGAATTATGACCTTGTGTTTGTTTGGAGATTAAGTATGATTTAAGGAGATCATTTGGGTGTAAAGTTGACCAAGCATCAGATGTGAGGGTCAACCTTGATCGTGTCAATTTGATTGCTCAGAAGCCACCTGAGGCATTGGTAGAGAACCTTTCTGTCTATGTCTGAGTCATAGACTTATGATCTGGAGTATTGTCTATGTTCCCTGGTCCCTTTTCTCTCTGCCCCTGTTCCCATGCTCTATTTCCTAACCCACTAAGCAACTCAGCAACTTTGCAGTGCCGTGATCTTTGACCATGGTATTCCTGTTTTGGGGCCAGCCAGCCATGTACAGAGTCTCTTGAAACTGTAAGCCAGTTAAACTTCCCCCTCTTTAAACCGAGGTGGTTAGCTTCAGCATCAAGGAAGCTCACTAGTGCACTGATGAGTTTCAAACTTTTAAAGTAGATGAGACCCAATTCACAATAAGTAATAGTTGAGGAGACACAAGCACATGTATACACTGTTGGCGGGAGTGTAAACTGATACATTTTGGGAAATGCCAATCCAAATTATTAAAAATGCACAAATTAATTAATTCAACACCCCCTGGTCTAGAGATTTACCTCAAACATGTATTTAAAAATAATGACAATATTTGAATAAATTATTTATTATAATATTCTTTAGAAAAGTATGAATAGAAATAAGTCCAATGTCTTCATTAGTGGACTAATTAAATAAAATATTAGATGATTATTATAATGATGAGATAAGCACTAATATGAAAACCTTTCCATAAAATATTGATAACAGAAAAATAATCAAGGTATTATAATTGTACAATGTAATACATTTTGTATAAATACAAAGAATATATTTATATGAGCATCTAGTATTAAATATAGAAATTTAATGAAGACAAAAGTGAACAAAAGTACTGGAGGTGGATGGTCGTATATAACGTAATAATCTGAGGGAAAGAGATATAAACCTTAGTAACAGTGTCCCGGCAGTCACCTTTAATCAAAAACACAGAGGAAGGGAGCAAAGTGGGGGTCTGGCTTGATTCAGTGTTTACACTGTGCAGCCATATTGCTTTTCCCTGTCAAAAGTAGCTTTTTAAACTGGGACATTATTGGAAATTTGTTTTTATTTCATGCTTTTCTGTGTTAAACGAGAGAAAATAAAATGTTATTTTCTAAAAAATGAAAATGACCAGTTGCTACCCTGCCTCATGTACTTTACGTTACCAGTAAAATTATAGAACTGCAGTGTGTGGAGCCCAGCCTGCGTTCATAGTAGCACTGAAATTTGTATTTTCTGGTTTTCAACACTCTCCTTTGCATCACTCCTCTATTTCTTTCAGTGTTGGCTGTTTTAGAGGTTCCTCCTGTCTTTATTCTGACCTACAGTTGTTCAAACACGTATATGAAATTCATGCCTATATTTCACATGAAATTACTGTTAGTTGGAACTAAAATGTTTATAACTGAAAAATTTCTACATATCATTCTTCCATTAGTATTTTTATTTTAAAGTCAAAGATGTGTAATAACTTGTATCATATGACAGACTTTCATATATCATTGAGACAATGAAAACATGTTTGTTAGAGAAAATGCTTATTTTTCCTGATAGGAAACCATTCTTAGAATGACATACTGCATTTAGGGAGTTACAGGGCCTGTATCAGTGTGAATAGGGTAGGTTTTGACATGAAAATGAAGGTACTGCAGCCTCAGTACTGTATTTTATTACAGCAGTGCACCTCAGACTTGCTCCTTCAGTAGTCCTGGCGGTAAAGAGTGGGGCTCAGAATGGAACAAAGACAGCCCACGGACAGAAATGACACGTTTTCCTTTCACTGACATTTCACTGACCAGTGCCGTTACACTGTAGCTAAATTTAAGAGTGAGTGAGTAAGTTAAATTCTCCCTCTAAAAATGAGAACAGGATGATGGAAATAGTAGCAATATCTACTTCTTTGCTCTAACTTTCTGAACTTTATTTCCAAGTATTTTATGACCAGTTAGACAGGAGACAGTACAAACATAACCACATTAAAGACTTTTTTTAAGGTCAGGGATCTAGCTCAGCAGCACAAGCGCCTGCCTGGCAAGTTCAAGGGCCTGAGTTTGATTCTCAGTAAAAAAAAAAAAAAGAAAAGATTTTTTAAAAAATTCTATTCTCTTTGTTAAATAATTCCAGCTTTCTCAATATCTATTATGCACTCTGCTTCTAAATTTTTGATAGTTTTTATTCATTTTTCCCCTTGTCTTTGAAAGCTAGATGTTAGTCCATATGGTAAAGGGTATTACTGTAATAGAAAAGCGGGCAGTAGAGAGAAGTCTAGACTCAAATACCAGCTCTAACACTGGCTAGTTGTGTGTCCTGAAACCATTATTTAATCTTCCTAAACTCAGTATCCTCAGCTGAAGTTAGAATAATCTATATAAGGATTTTTCAATGACCAAGTAATTTTTGTGAATTTTTATCCACATCATGCATAATGAGTTCTTAAAAAATAAACTGACTGCATAGATTGGTTCATATACAAAGCAATGAATTTCTTTCCTATTTTGTTCTACAAAAACAATTCTATGCCGAGAGGTGAGTAATGTAAGTTCACTTATGCTGTTTATTGAAAAGTTGACCTCTGTGCCGAGTCTGTGAAGAGATGTTAATTACCAGTAAAATGGTTAGAAGTGTCCTGTCTTCCATTAAGAACTGAGCCAAAGGTACTAACACAATTTTCAAGTGATAGATTTGATACAGTTACTGCAAAGATGCTGATTCTCTGTTGTCTCTTTTTTTAAAGTGAATTGTGATTTAACTCTTGAAGTGCAAATAGCATACTATTCAATAACTGAATTTTAAACTTTGAAAGAATTGAATGCACAATACAATTCAGGTAAAGCGTCTTTTAATTTCAAGTACCATGAGCTAAGGAAAAGTTTTAAAATAATACATTTATTATTTC